AGCCGCAAGCTATCACAGCCAGGTGCCCAAACTGAAGATGCCGGCCTCCAGGAATACAGGACGGCCGGTGAAACGGGCTGCGGGGGACACACCACGGGACCGAGGGACAGGTGAGTGGCTGTTTTTTAAAAGTCAGCAGCTACAGTTTTGTAGCTGCTGACTTTTATTTTTTGACAGGGTGAGTGGAACTCTGCTTTAAGGAGGCGCATGTTAAAGCTTGTAGGAGTTTTCTTTCTGCTCTAGGAAGATGCAAAACCCCTGACCTCTGTCTGGACAGTGCTGATTGGCCCTGTGCTGATCACATGCACTCTCCCAAGGAGAAAAGAAAAAACGAAAAACCCTCTCTAGCAATGCACACTAAACTGAGCATGTGCAAAATGGCTATGGTTCAGTCTGTCTCATCAGGAGAGAAGATGTGGACATTTGAACAATAGAAGGAGCAGAGAAGACAGGATCAAACATCCTTTTTACACAATGCGGAAGATTAACCCCTTAGGTTCCGCAGTGAGTATAACAAGCATCTATCTATCTATCTATTCGGTCGTATCCGACCCTTGGCGATTGCATGGACCGTCACTCATAAGCAACTTTTTCCATGAATTCTCTTAGCAATTATTTTTACAGGGTAGGTTGTCAGGTCTTTCCCCAACCCCCACCATGCAGGAGATCCCGCATGGCCAGGGATGAAACTAGGACAATTTAGACAGGAGCCAATTAACCTACCAGCATGTCTGTGGAGTGTGGGAGAAAACCGGAGTACCCAGAGGAAACCCACACAAGCACAGGGAGAACATGCAAACTCCATGCAGGAGGCGCCATGGTCGGGAATCAACCCATGACCCATTTACTGCACGCCAGACGTGCGAACCACTAAGCCACTGTGCCGCCCACAACAAGCACGCTTTACTGCATATACAGACTGATTGTACCGTTGTGGGTTTAGTAACACTTTAAAGACACACTGGGGCTGAGCAGAAGGGGGAGGTTAAAAGAAACCTTTCCTCTAGAGCAGGGGTAGGCAAACTTCGGCCCACCAGTTGCGGTAAACTACAAATCCAATCAAGTCTCTGGAAAGCATGCCTGTGGCTGTCAGAGTCTTGCAATGCCTCATGGGACTTGTAGTTCCCCCAACAGCTGGAGGGCCAAAGATTGGCTACTCATGCTCTAGAGGTTGGCTACCATGCCTGAACTCCTTCCAAAAATGCTAATTGCCTGACTGTTTTTGTCCAGACTACTTTCTAAGTGAAGGCCCAGAACCAGCATGAAGCAAGTGAAGTCACAACTCCTGAACTAGTGGTACCCACATGAGCTTTATATGTCAATTCATTCATTTGCCTGCAAAGACAATGGCCCATCCGGGCCAGGATACCAATGGATGACGATTTCACTGAGCCAGCAGCGATTATATTAGAAACAAAACAGAAATGAAACAGCTGGAGATACATAAATGCAGCTATTGCAGCATCCCTGGGGCAGCGCCTCATTTTCTGAGGAAAACGTTACTTTTCAGGGATTAAAGAGAAGACAAAAATGATACATCTGAAGACTGATAGATACATGTCAGGATGAAGAGTTTCCTGTGAAAGGAACGTCGCTGAATATAAAAGGCCCTAAATGCTGGGAGGATGAGGAGCAGTGTTGGGGTTGTCACCTTACAAGCTGGGCTCTCAGTAGATATGAAGGACACAAATTAAAAGGAGACATACAGCCAAAGCTTTTTTTTGGCTGAACTTCTGTAGATAACAGGAGCGCAGTTCGTTCTGCACTCCTGTGACCAGGGGCGGACTGACCATTTGACCACTTGGGCACAGCCCGAGGGCCCGGGGTCAGTAGGGGGCCCTGTGAGATGCCCCTGGTACTTTTTATAGGCTTTTTTGGGTGTATTTTGAGTGTGGATGAGGACACTGGGGCCCCATGATCCCCTATTGCCCGGGGGCCCCATGAGTTGTCAGTCCACCCCTGCCTGTGACCCGTTTTTAGCTGGCAGCGGGTTGACGTCACTCAGCCGGTCCAGGCTGGGGAAAGATCCCGACTTCAAAGTTGGGATCCACCCAAGAGCCTGGAGCGGCACAGGGCTCAGCCTCTCAGCGAAGCGCTGAGAGCCTGAGCCAGACGCTCCTTCCCCCTTCCAGTGAGCGCTGGTGGGGGGCTCAGCAGAGAGCGGTGACCGACAGTCACTACTCTCTGCTCAGAGTGGCTGTGAGAACTCAGCGATTATGTGATTGCCAAATTCTCACACTGAAAGCCGGTGGTGGGGGGGGGGGGGTAAAGATACAGCATCGGACCTGTGCTACATCCACATAGGTAAGTATAAATGGGCAAAATAAGCCCTACTTCTCTTTTAATGCAGCTCTGTATTCAATAGCACATTGTTCGGTTTTTTTTTTTTGGAGTGCAAGAATTTGACCTTGTATCACCCTCTTGCAATCCATAGTACAGCAGAGCTTAGACTGGGAGAAGAGAAGCACAAGGAGCCAATCAGGTGTGATGCAGTGCTCATGTGCCAACAAGAAACATGCTGATAGGAGGAGAAAGCAGAGTGATAAGGAGAGGAGTGTGTCTCTGCTCCTTTCACTGTCCAGTCTGGTGTAGGGACAAGACCTGTAAGTGTTACTGAACTGCAAAAAAAACAAAAAACAAATCAGGTCACCTTCCAAACAGCACTGTGCTGTGTGTGGCAGAGCTGTGTAAATCTCAGGACTGGATATACAGTAATAAAAATCATGTGCCAGGTAAAACAGCAAGTGTCAGTTGTGTTTTTAGCGGTTTAACTGGCATTCAGCTGTAACACTACGTAAAGGAGAACTATGGCTAAAGCTCATATGGCCCTACTTCCTCTGTGGGTCACAGGGGTACACTTAGCTCTGCACTCCTGTGCCCCACAGGGGAAGTAGGGCCATATGAGCTGAGTAGGGCCAGATTCAGATTCAGCGCTGGTTCAGACTTCCGACTTTAATGTCGGAATCCACCAAGATGCCTGAGCGGGCCGTTGGCTCAGTCTCTCAGAATGCCGACTGACAGTCCCCGCTCTCTAACCCCCGGTTCACATCTGTGCGGGTGGTGCCGCTGCAGATCCGCACGAAAATCCGTGCAGCCGCACCACCCGCACAGAGAAATGCGGACCCGCGGGCAGGTGCCATTAGTTCTAATGGCACGCCGCCCGCATTTCAAAACGCAACCGTACTGGGAACCGAGATTCCTGTGGGGGCTGTGCTTTCCAAAGAAGTGCAGGGACTTCTTCCCTGTGTGTCACGGGCACGGGAGTCCATTCAAATGAATGGGCTCTCGTGCCCGTGCAAAACGCGGGCCGCACGGCCGCCTAGATGTGACCGGGGGTGAAGACTGAGGCGGCAGGGGACAGATGTAGCACTGGACTGATGCTGCACCCACTTAGGTGAGTAGGATTGTTATTCTAAAATCCCACTGTTCTCTTTTAAAGCGGAATGTTACTTGCTCCTCATCCAACCTTCAAAAAAAAAAAAAAAAAAAAAAAAAAAAAAAAAAAAAAAAAAAAAAAGGTTCGGGAGGGGGTAAGCCTTTTATCAGCAGAGTGTAGCCAGTGATTCCACCTTTCTGGCCCCCTCCACTCGCAGCCTCCTGACATGCCCACATCACGGATTCCAGGAAGCTTTAGGGCAGTCTAGAACGCTCTGCACATGTGCAGTGCAGCATGAACATCATCAGGAGGTCAGCTGCTAGGACCCAGAAGAACCAGCCTGCCTCCTGATGACATCACAAAGATGATGTCACGAGCAGGCAGTGCAGCGGCTTTCACCGAAACACAGCGAGCAGCACTATATATTGGCTAGGTGAGTGTTGTTTCTGCTCACCCCCGCAGACCAGGTAATATCAAAATTAACCCCGGGTGGGGTGTGTGTGAAGGTGAAGTACCTCTTTAATAGGACTCTAATGCAGGTCATACACGGGTCGAATTCCGAACAAATTTTTTTTAGGAAATCTGAACTTTCGTGCATTTTGTAATTTTAACAGAACCGGACCCCGACTGCACTTGAGTACTTCTGTTATAATACCGCTTCCCCGTCCAAACACCGACCACAGACACCATAGAAGACCATACAAGACTAGACAACACCAGACATGAAGTAAACCAGGACAGACTACTTTATTTTAACACAGATACAAGATATATACATTTAAGGGAACAACCCCCCCCCCTCCCTGCATTATGACACAGGGCGGGGCAATTTACCTTTAGTAACAAGAGACACACCAGCAGACAGTCCCATCAGTAGGGAGGGCTGCTGGAAACACCCCCCACCAAGCCAATACACAAACACATACATCCCATAATAGTTTGCTCCCAGGCAAGACACACAATAGAACAATGGGATGCAACCACATGGCATTAAACAATCAACAACCCCCCACCCCAATATTAGGACATCACCCTGTACCCCTAACAGGCACAGGGTGACTTACACATAATAGGGATATGGGGAGCTAAGACAGGGGTCTCCCCACCTCTCCAAAGTGAGCTGGGTTCCATGGACCCCCCACCTAAAGTGACTCTCGTCACAGTAATCCAATGGAACCACCATTGATTTTCAAATTCAACCAACCAAGCCTTTAATTGCATGTCATGTTGCTACAGAAAAGAATTTTCGTGGCCAAGGAATGTATTTTCTTTCCAAGTCACAGCTCACGCTCATTTCTTTTTCAATGACATTTCTCACACAATCCTCCCATCATTGATTAGAAATTTGTTCATTTTTTAAAAACATTTCCAACATGCCCGATCACTGAAATTCGATTGGGAGTGAAAAATTTTTTTTAAAAAAACGGTCGTTGCTGTGGACCACTAATGGAGCGAAATTCAAACGGAAATTCTTAGAAAAGATTTTTGAAAGAAGATTCTTTCGGAATTCGACCCGTGTGTGATTGGATTAAGTGAACCTGTCGGGTAAAAAGTCAGTACAAATTAGAGGGTTATCAATGGCTCCACAGGGTAAAATTGCACACCTTTGTCTAATCAACTCCTCCGTCACCCCCGGGTCACATCTATGCGGCCATGCGGGCCGCGTTTTGCACGGGCACAAGAGCCCATTCATTTGAATGGACTCCCGTGCCTGTGACACGCAGGGAAGAAGTCCCTGCACTACTTTGGAAAGCACAGCCCCCACAGGAATCTCGGTTCCCAGTACGGTTGCGTTTTGAAATGCGGGCGGCGTGCCATTAGAACTAATGGCACCCGCCCGCGGGTCCGCATTTCTCTGTGCGGGTGGTGCGGCTGCACGGATTTTCGTGCGGATCTGCAGCGGCACCACCCGCACAGATGTGAACCGGGGGTTAGAGAGCGGGGACTGTCAGTCGGCATTCTGAGAGACTGAGCCGAAAATGCAGCCGAGGTTCCCAGTACGGTTGTGTTTTCCAGTGCGGGCGACGTGGCATTAGAATGAATGGCACCCACCCACGGGTCCGCATTTGTCTGTGCGGGTGGTGCAGCTGCTTGGATTTTCGTGCGGATCTACAGCGGCACCACCCGCACAGATGTGAACCTAGGGTGAGCCATACAGACCCCTGATCTTTGTGTAATATGCTAGTCAGGATTTTGCAATAGGTTGGGGCTGCAGCACACACACTCACCATGTCCCCTATGCCATGCAAGGTCACCAACGTGCCCACTACTTGTTGGATTTGGGATGGTTTGATCTCTGAACAGCAAAATCAACATTTGCGTACAGCACAGCCAACGTTCAAGGTTCACATAGGTAACAGGGATGGAATTAAAAAAAGGGGGGGGGGCGGGGGGGGAGTATGTACGGGTCGTCTTTGGTTCCAATAATGCAATATTACATTTTCATGTCAATGCATGCGAACGTGACCCGCTGAGGCCCAATGTCTGCATATCCTGGACTGAATACAGTCAAGACCTCTACTGGTGACCAAAATAGAACTCCGCTTGTAAATCCATTCATGTTCGGTGCCATACCATAATATCCTTGACAATGAACCACTCTGAGCTCTTAAATTTAAAGTGCAACTTCACTTTCACTGAGAACCCCCCCCCCCCCCAAAACAAAAAAAAAAAAAAAAAAACATTCCCCTCTGGGTGATCTATATACATTGTAAGGATTTTCAACAAACTTTGTTGCAGGGTCCTACCTTTTGTTACTCTGAAGAAATAGCTGTTTGTATGTATCCATGTGCAAAATGAATGTGAATTGGAGGGACTTTACAATTGTCAATTAGCTTCCCCACTTGCAGGGATCTAATGAGGAAAGTGGCAGGGTCTGCATCCCTTTAGATGTGATTTCCCTTAGGGAGAATCTCAACAAAATGTAAATTCTCAGAATCCGACTTGTATCTTAGTAGCCCTCATATTCCTTCTGTACTGAAATGTATTGTAATTGTACTGTCTCCCTTATATTGTACAGCGCTGCGCAAAGTGTTGGCGCTATAAATCCTGTATAATTATAGTGCAGACTTCTAGGAAAATCAGTGAGCCAATCATACAAGCAGGAAATGACATTTTGGGGGGTGTTCTGTACAACATCTGTGTACAGAATGCCTCCAGGTTGCCATATCGCATTGAATTTTAAAGTTTGAAAAAGAAAGGTAATTTTTAATAACATTTCATTACAATATGACTTGTGTTGCAATTGTATATGCTATATTTTTTATTTGCTATTTTTCCCCATGAAAGTGAGTTACCCTTTATATAACAACTCATACATGAATGGGTGATCATAGCTAAACCCTGGAATGCAATAAAATTACCTGCTGGACACCCAACATGACTGCCCACCAGTGCACAAAGCAAGGTCCATAAAGACATGGAGGAGCCAGTTTGGGGTGGAGGAACTTGACTGTCCTGCACAGAGTCCTGACCTCAACCCCATAGAACACCTTTAGGATGAATTAGAGCGGAGACTGTGAGCCAGGCCTCCTCCCCCCGACATCAGTGCCTGACCTGACAAATGTGCTTCTGGAAGAATGGTCCAACCTTCCCATAGACACACCTCCTAAACCTTGTGGACGGCCTTCCCAGAAGAGTTGAAGCTGTTATATCTGCAAAGGGCGGGGCCAACTCAATATTGAACCCTCCGGACTAAGACTGGGGGGCCATTAAAGGTCATGTGCGTGGCAAGGGCGGGGCCAACTCAATATTGAACCCTACAGACTAAGACTGGGGGGCCATTAACCTCCCTGGCGGTCTGATTATGTCAGTATTTCTGTGCTCAAAGCGGTAAATTTTTTTCCATGGAAATATGCAGTTTTTTTTTATTGTAGGTCTGTAATTTTTAGGAATAACTCACTAAAATCTGTCCGAACAAGAGTCTAGTAAACATCCCGGGGGTTATGATAAAATTTGAAACACGAAATCATAAATTATAATATAATCATAAAAAATATAATAAATTTAATTCAATAATATAATCAAACCAAAAACACTGAAATGTGAAATAGAGCGCCAAGTTCGCACATCGCTGAGCAAAGTCGCAGAATCGTTTTCAGTGTCTGATGAGGAATTTCCCCCACGAATTATTATCACTCAATTCTGCAAGTGGTTCTGATTTACTATCGCTGTTCTCTATCCGGTCTAAAACCGCTTTTGACCTAAAGGGACGCTTTTTTGGACGCCATGGACGTTTCTCAGTTTCCAGGCAGAAAGAACAGTAAAAATGCAGGCAGGGCGCCGGACAAAGCACTCGGGACAAAATGTATGTGAAATGGTTTGATACAGGAATGTTATACTATGTGATTTTAGTGAATGTCACTTCAAATTTTTGAATTTCCCGCCAGTTCCGTCCCCCGTACGTCCCGACGTCGCAGGGGACGGAGCCCAGAAGACAGATGCTGGCATCGGCCGGAGAACATTACAGGGGACACTGCAGGGGGGACATCGCGGGAGCGAAGGACAAGGTAAGTGATCGAGGGAATCCCTGAGCAACGCTGCAGTGTATTCCCGAGTGTAGCTCGGAGTTACCACTTTTGGTATTGAAAGTTTACCCCGAGCTACACTCGAGAATACCGCCAGGGGGGTTAAAGTTCATGTGCATGGAAAGGCAGGCTGCCCAATACTTTTGCCAACATAGTGTATATTGCTGATTTAGCAGGCAGCCATTCTATTACTTTGCACTCAAATACCGTCAGGAATGGACAAACTGCTATAGAATTCTAGAAGCCCCATTGAAGACAAAAGGCATATAAAACAATCCGGAGATCACTTGCTTCTAACACCACAAATATAAAATCAGACACCAGCTGTAATCATTTAGTTGCATTCGTTCCTGGGATTCATCCAGTCCCGCTGGTGTTCCCTGATATGGTGGCCTTGTATCTGCTGATGTTATACAATGCAACGATCTTGTATGGTATGTAAACATCGTTTTCATGGTTGGACATATTCCAGCTGGCAGGTAGCCAAACGGTCTTAAAAAAAATACGACTGGTACTTCAAATAAAGTTTTAAGGGCTTTTCCATTCTTTGAACATTTCCAAAATCCTTAAAGGGTTATTTAAACCCAAAAGCAAACATTTATTATATTGCAGCTTACCAATTTTTAGATGTGATGGCTGCATTCGTATTCTTTTTTTAGTCTTTCTTGTAGTTTCATCTGGTGATACAGCCAGCAAGTCTGTTTTGGTTTTTTTTTTTAAAGAACAAGCTCCAATCAGAGAATGCTTTTCATTCATTCAGGTAATGCATTCACTGTATGATGCGCAACCTGAGTTACATTGATCCAAGTCCAATGTAACCGTGTATAAAACAGCCATACATGGAATCCTGCTTTTAAGATGGGATGAATTATATTAAAGCGGAGTTCCTCCCAAAAGGGGAAGCTCTGCTTCTCTTCCTCCTCCCCCCCCCCCCCCCCACAGCCACACTGGGGGGGGGGGGGGGGGCAGCACCATCTGCATGAAGGGGGTTCCAACCCTGCTGCTGGCAGCCTGTAAACCTCAAAGAGGCTGAAAGCTGCTGCGGCTGGATGATGCACTGAGTGGGCAGTATGTGCCCAGGAATGAACGTCCACAATGCAAGCACTTTGTATCCCACGGTGTACGGTCCAGCCATAGCAGCCTCCAGTCTCCCAGTTTTACAGGTTGCCGGCAATGAGGCTGCCACGATGTGCCTGTGCCTCCTGCCCACACCAACATGCTATTTCATGCACCAGGGCTAAAGACTCAAGTCAGGCAGCTCCTTGCACTACATAGTTGGTGGTAGATCTAAAAATTGTTCAGTCATTTTTTACAGTGTATGGTTGCCTTTGGGTCTGTATTTAATAATGGTAGACCAAGTCAGCTGCTGCACTGGTGCCACTTAGGGGTTACATGGCACTAAACACACAAAAGAAGACGGAGACGTCTCTAAGGGTGCAAGCACACAGCCATACAAAGATACAACTAGTATGCAGGGGCTTCCTAATAGAAGCTGGCAGCAAGATTCTGCATAAAAGTGCTATGTATGCACAAAATGTTTGAGCAACTTTTGTACATGTGTACAAATGGCCGTTTGTTGCTAGGAAGCAGGCAGATTCTGTCTCCTAATGGCCGTGTGTTGCTAGGACGCAAGCAGATTCTGTCTCCTAATTGCCGTGTGTTGCTAGGACGCAGGCAGATTCTGTTTCCTAATGGCCGTGTGTTGCTAGGACGCAGGCAGCTTCTGTCTCCTAATGGCCGTGTGTTGCTAGGACGCAGGCAGATTCTGTCTCCTAATGGCCGTGTGTTGCTAGGACGCAGGCAGCTTCTGTCTCCGAATGGCCGTGTGTTGCTAGGACGCAGGCAGATTCTGTCTCCTAATGGCCGTGTGTTGCTAGGACGCAAGCAGATTCTGTTTCCTAATGGCCGTGTGTTGCTAGGATGCAAGCAGATTCTGTCTCCTAATGGCCGTGTGTTGCTAGGACGCAGGCAGCTTCTGTCTCCTAATGGCCGTGTGTTGCTAGGACGCAGGCAGCTTCTGTCTCCTAATGGCCGTGTGTTGCTAGGACGCAGGCAGCTTCTGTCTCCTAATGGCCGTGTGTGTTGCTAGGACGCAGGCAGCTTCTGTCTCCTAATGGCCGTGTGTTGCTAGGACGCCGGCAGCTTCTGTCTCCTAATGGCCGTGTGTTGCTAGGACGCCGGCAGCTTCTGTCTCCTAATGGCCGTGTGTTGCTAGGACGCAGGCAGCTTCTGTCTCCTAATGGCCGTGTGTTGCTAGGACGCAGGCAGCTTCTGTCTCCTAATGGCCTTGTGTTGCTAGGACGCAGGCAGCTTCTGTCTCCTAATGGCCGTGTGTTGCTAGGAAGCAGGCAGCTGCTGTCTCCTAATGGCCGTGTGTTGCTAGGAAGCAGGCAGCTGCTGTCTCCTAATGGCCGTGTGTTGCTAGGAAGCAGGCAGCTGCTGTCTCCGAATGGCCGTGTGTTGCTAGGAAGCAGGCAGATTCTGTCTCCGAATGGCCGTGTGTTGCTAGGACGCAGGCAGATTCTGTCTCCTAATGGCCGTGTGTTTGCTAGGACGCAAGCAGATTCTGTCTCCTAATTGCCGTGTGTTGCTAGGACGCAAGCAGATTCTGTTTCCTAATGGC